AAACACTTGACACGTACTAGCTGTGTGACCTTGGACAAGTCACTTAACCCTGATTGCCTCATTTAAAAAAAAAAAAGATTTATTCTGTACACATGGTCATAGTTCCCCAACGTGTCAAATGCTGCTTCAGAGCAGGGACCACCTGGTGAGATTTCCACCATTTCTCCCCAGGGCCTTGTGTAGTTCCCTTGACATAAGGAACACTTCATGCACCTCCAGGAGAGTTCATGAAAGCTTCTCTTTCCATCTGCCCCCAGCACAGGGGGTCAAATGCTCTGGGTGAGGCCCCAAAGGTTTCCAAACTCCCTACAAGGCAACAGGCAGAGCAGAGGGAGGCACCAGTGACTGAGCTCTGAAGGAAATCAGGAATTCCAAGAGGAAGAGGGAATATACTCCAGGATGGAGGAGCAGCTGAAGATGAGCCATGGCACGTTCTGTGTGAGAAATGCTAGCTAAGAAGGGCAGTCAGGCTGGGCGCATGTGACGAGGCTGGAAAGGCAAGCTCTAAGTGACCAAGTCTGCACTGGATCCCGGTGCTCACTCCTAGGGTACCACGGCAGCATTTTGGGCAGGTGAGTGGACTCTGTAATATCATTCTGGCAACTGTGGAGGACCGACTTCAGGAGAGAGACTTAAGGAAGCCACCAATTAGGATGCTACAGCTATCACAGAAATAATAACAAGTGTAGCACTACAAAGTATGCACAGAGCGTTACAGGTTAGCACATTCGAGGCTCGTGATGGCCATGCAAAGGGGCTTTTAACCCAATTGTACAAATAAGGATACAGCACTAGGAAGGTCAAGTGCTTTGCCAAGGGTCATACAGCTAGCGAGTCCCCGAGGCGAGATCTGAACCCAAGCAAACAATGGGAATTCATTACAAGCTTACAGTGTTCTGGGCACTCTGCTAAATGCTGAGGATACACAGAAATGGTAAAACAAAACAAAAACAAAACAGCTAGGTGGAGCAATGGATAGAGCACTGGCCCTGGAGTCATGAGGACCTGAGTTCAAATTCAACCCCAAAACACTTGACACTTACTAGCTGTGTGACCCTGGGAAAGTCACTTAACCCCATGGCCTAACAACAACAAAAAAACAAAAACAAAACACATAGTCTCTGCCCTAAATGAGTTCAGATTCTAACAGGGGAGACAAGAGGAAAATACTACATACCTATAAGATGCAATGTATACAATTGCAAATCAAAGGTAATCTCCAAAGGGACTTTGCTTCCCGACTCCCATTTAAACACTACCGTCATTCCTCAGCAGCCAGTAAAGAGATAAACACAGAAATGAGGACAAGGTCAGGGGCAGGAAGTGAACCTGCGATTTTACTGGTACAAGGAAATCCCAGGGGGGGAAACTCCCTCTACCAAAGCTCTGCCACTTACTACAGTCTTAATTGTAAGGTGACTCTCCCAGGATCACACAGCCTGGAGGTGTCCAAGGTGGATCGAGAGGCCAGCTCTCTACCCGCTGAGAAAATACAGGATAAAGTGGGAGGAGAAAGCGAGGCTGGGGACTTCGCACAGTCCTGCCTCACTTAAATCCAATTCACCTGCCCGTCATGCCATCACCCTGCTGATGTCCAGGTCCTCTTCAAGAACGAAGGACAAACACAACAACAACAAGATAAATAGAAGAGAGGGGTGAGGACAGAGATGGAAACCCAGAGCCAGAGAGTATGAGACAGAGATACGCAGAGACAGAAACCGACGGAGGCCCAGAGAGATACAGGGAGGACACAGAGACGGAGAGAGAAAGGGATTGAGATGCACAGAGATCAAGATACTGGGAGAAACTGAGATACACAGAAAAACAGATGCACAGACAGAGGGATGCCCAGAGATGAAGACGCACGGGGAAAGGGGGGCAGAAAAACAGGGGGATGCCCG